TTAAATATTATTATAGCTCTGTGGCTCCATGTTGTTCTTTTTCAAGATTGTTTTATGTCTATACTGTGTCCTTTGTTTCCAGACAAATTTTAGTATCAACCCTTAATTTCAAAGGACAAAGAACAAGCATAAATAATGATAGAGATTGCACTGACAAAGCAGATCAATTTAGGGAACATTACCATCTTAACACATTTAAATCTTCTGCTCTGTGAACATGGAATGTCTTTCATTTAACTTTTAATTGAATGTTTGTAGTTTCTAGTGTATAAGTTCTGCATTTCTTTTACTAAACTTATTCCTAAACATTTCTTTTAAAAATATTGTAAATAAAACTTTCCTTAATTGTTTATTGCTAGTATATAGAAATCAACTGTTTTTTTTTAAACTGATCTTATACCCTGAAACCTTGCTAACTTTTTGTTCTAGTAGTTTTTTGGTTCCTTATGATTCTCCATATATAAGATCATGTTCTCTGGCAAAAGTTTTATTTTTCCCTTCCAATCTGGATGCCTTTTCAATGCATTCCCATGCCTAATTGCCCTGATTAGATATTGAATAGAAATAGTGAGAACAGCCATCTTTAAGGATCTTTTTCCTCCTTCAAATGCTTCAAAGCAAAAGAAATATATTTCAGATTAAGTAGAGGTCCCCTTCTGTTTCAAATCCCAAAGCCTTTTCTTCTTTCTCTCCCCACAGGTAACTACAATCATGAATTTGGATATCTTTTTATTTCTGTGTGTGTATGTCCCCATTAATAAGAATATTGTATGGATATCTGCCATTTTTACTTTATACAAATTATATAATCATTTCCAATAATTTTTAAATTCAAATTTAAGACATGACAATATATCATATACATACATATAAGTGTATATACACACATACATATGTTATCCATGGCCTGTTAATAAGAATGTATTTTACTAATGCATTTCCCTATTGGTGGGCATTTACAATACTTCCAATGCTTTGTATTATAAACAATGGTGCATGGAAATTTTCATTTGTGTCTTGTGCTTATATGCAATCATTTATCTAAGGTAAATATTTTGAGGCATTATTTCTAAATGATATAGAACCTACACTTTGTATTTTACTAGGAAATGTCAAATCATCCTACCTAGTCAAATTGCCGTACCAGACATCATATCAACTAATTGAGAAAGACAGTTTCTGATTCTCTACATCTCCATGCTTGATAATGTCAGTTTCTTATACTAGAGCAATTTGAATGATTCATATCCTTTTTATTATGAATAACTGTGTGACCTACTTACTGATGAAGTCAAATACTTTTTCATTGATTTACTAACCTTTGTGGGTTTCAGTTCTGTCAATTCCCAATTATATATTGTACTCATTTTTTTCAGTTAGATTCCTTTTCTTTTTCTATTGATTTACAAAAGTTCTTTAAATATTTGAGACAATAATTCTGCTTTGTACTCTTACAAATGTTTTGTTCCAGCTCTCTACTTCCACTTAAATTTCTTATAATGTCATATTTTGAAAAAAAAATAAATGTAATAAAATTTATTAATTTGTTTCATTATATTTTATTCCTTTAAGTCTTGTTTAAGTAATCCATCTCTTCGAGGTCATATCTTGTAATCGTTTTACTTTATTTTTCATTTGTTTCACTCATTTAAAACACTATATTTTTTGGTTTGGGCTTGTTTGGGGGTTTTTTGATTTGTTTGGTTTGTTTTTGTTTTTAGAAGTCCAGATGTCTAGAACCATTTTTTCCCTTGAGTTGGAATCTTCCTCTCACATGCCAAGTTACAATATAAGCAAAGACCTCTTTCTAAACTCTCCATCTGGTCCATTGATTCATTTGTACACTTCTGTGCTAATGCTATGCTGCTTTAATTATTACATTATACTTACCACTGATAGTTGGTAAAGGAAATCTCCATATCCTTATCCTAATCTTCTTTTAGAATTAATTTAGCTAGATTTATAAACTTTAGCATTCATTTTAGAGTAAATATGTCAAGTTCTATAAAAGTCTTGCTGGTTGAATTAGAATCACACTAAAATTATAGTGTATTATAAATTTTTTTTTCTTTTATTTTTTAAATTTTTTATTGTTGGTTGTTCAAAACATTACATAGTTCTTGATATATCATATTTCACACTTTGATTCAAGTGGGTTATGAACTCCCATTTTTTTCCCCATATACAGATTGCAGAATCACATCAGTTACACATCCATTGATTCACATAAAATTAAAAGTTTTTCTATTCATTTTCTCATTATGTATTGATCTTACATTCCTTTTTTAAACCTTATATTTACTATCTTCTATTAGTTTTACTAGTTTTACCATAGATTCTAGATTTTTTCCATATAAATTATCATATTTAGGGGGGATAATCTCTTATTTTTCCATTATTCATATTTCTTATTTTTTTACTTTGGAGCTGGGCAGGAAGGGGGGCCTTAAATAACTAAATGTGATCTTTAGAAAAATGTTGAATATTGACTGAGTAAAAATTCTACACTCTTTTTAGATTTTAGTAAGTGGTTCTAAACTTTAACATCAGCTTACATCCTATCATTTATCACCAAATCTTACATACCTTTGAAAGTAAAGGAAACCAGAGTTGACAGGCATAAACTGCAATGCTACTCATACAAAAAGCAGTTTAAAAGCAATAGACACATAAAACTCTGGACTCCCAAACTTCAGAACATTTTTCAAGTACTATAAAAGCTTTACAAAGTTTGCCATAAATTTGTGTCTATAAACCAAGTTTTTACAAATGTCAAAGGGCTAAAAGCACACAGGACATGTTCTCTGACCATAAAACAATAAAGTTAGAAATTAATAACCAAAAGAAAATTCCTAATTTTATTTAAAATTAAAATACATGTCTAAATAAACCTTTAATGAGAATAAAACAAAACAATGAAAATTTGGAATACTTTGATCTAAATGAGAATGAATATACTACATTTCAAACACTATGAGATGTTGGTAAATAGTATTCAAATAAAGATTTAAAGCCTTAAGGAAGAAATCTAGAAAAATTAAATGAACTAAATATCTATCTACCTGAGGAAATCAAGAGAACAAAAATAGCAACAAAAAAAAAAAAAAAAAAACTAGGAGATAGTATGCATGTAAACCCATCAACTCAGGAGGCTGAAGCAGATGGATGAGCAAGTTGGAAGCCAACCTCAACAATTTAGTGAGACCCTGTCTCAAAATAACAAAATTAAAAATGTCTGGGGGTGTAGCTCAGATGTAGAGGGCTTCTGAGTTCAATCCCCTGTACTATCAAGAGAGAGAGAGAGAGAGAAAGAGAAAGAGAGAGAGAAATAAAAATAAGACCAGAAGTTGATAAAATACAAAGTCAATATAAGAGAATGAACAAAATTTTTAAAAAATTGTCTAGAAAAATTAAAAACTCTTTGCTGAAAATAGTGGAGAATAAAAATATAAGATATTAATAATATTAGGAAAGAAATATTATAAAGAAGTCTCTACCTATTGCAGACATTTAAAAAATAAAGAGACAAAGAAAAATAATATATACTTTATGCCAGTAAATTTTTAAATTTAAGTGAAATTAATTAATTATTAGGAAAATAAAACAGCAAAATTGACACGAGAAGAATTAGAACATTAGATATATCCATAATCATGGAAGAAACTGACACAGTAGTTCAACTCCTTCCAGAAAGAAATCCAGGCTCAAGGAACTATCCCAGCAAATTTTACCAAACATCCAAAGGAAAATGTAATACCAATCATTGATATATTTTCCTGGAGAACAGAAAAAGAAAAACTCTTCTGATTCATATTATGGCATAAATTTTCTGAAACAAATCTTCAACACTATGAGAAAGGAAAATAAATAAGCCAATCCATAGATTCAAAAATCTTAAAATCTGAGCATACTGATTCCAGAAATATATATATCATGATCCATATAAGTCTATTTCAGTAATGAAAGATGAGGTGAAACTTAATCTCAGATGCAGTAAGTGTTTGATAATGGGATCCTAATTAGAATAAGTTACACTCCATGTATGTATAATATGTCAAAATACACTCTACCATCATACAAATATATATATATATATATATATATATATATATATATATATATAAAATTTTTAAAAATCACTTTTCATCAAACTAAAAATAGTAAGAAAAATTTTAGTAGCATAAAATGTATCTACCTCTAAACTTCTGCAAAATCATAGTTAACAGAAAAAAGTTGAAAGTTTTCCCTCGAAAATCAAGAAAAAGACAAGGATACCTGTACTCAGCATTTTTATTCAACATTGTCCTGGAAGTCCTAACCAACATATGACAAGGAAAAGAGAAAGAGACTGTAAAGGAAGAAACATAGTTGTCATTATTGGCAGATGATATGATTGGATATGTGAAAAATGCAAAAGATCTGAGTAAACTACTTGCATTTAAAATAGTTGTATATAAAGAGCAATTTTCTCTGTATACTCCAGCCACGGTAATCAAAATCTAAGAAAGATGCCATTTACAATAGCATTAAATATTAAGTAGCACCTGAGGCTAACAAACAAAAGATTTGCAAGATTTCTATTAAGACAATAATATAAATATACTTAGAGAAGTATACTTTAGAGTATTTAAAGATGACCTAAATTATGGGAAAGATACAGCCTGTTAATGCATTTGAAGACTTGATATTGTAAAAATGTCAATTTTTCTTAAATCCACAGAATTGATGTTATTTAATTAAAGTATTTTTTTAAACTCGACAATTGGCTCCTAAATTTTATAGTAAAGTCAAAAAGGCCAAGCATAGCAAAGATACTCATAAAAAGAAACAAGAAGACTTGTTTGACCATGTGTCAAGACCCTTCCATCATACCTTGTGCAAAAATGAATTTCTAGCAGACTTAAGAAAGTCCTAAGAAATATTTAGAAAAGATAATCTGAAAATATCAGTATGACTTTTCAATCAAACATAACTGAATAATTTATGCAAACATAACTGAATAAATTATATTATGTATTTTCACACAATCAAATTCTATATAATACACCACAGCTACATACAACACACATTAAGTGGGAGAAAAAAAGCAAAACACTAAAGAGTACATATAATTAATTTATATAAACATTTGAAATATTTATAAAGTTCAAAAATTGGCAAGACTAACACAATTTAGAAATGCACACACAGGCATTTATTGAAATTGATTTTGGGGCTTTATACTTAATTAATTTGGAAAAAATATTCAATGTTTATTGAAAATAATGTGTATTCTGTTTTTGTTATAAGATTTTATATACATATATAAATACAATAAGCATACACATATATTACACATATATTCACACACATATAACATATATATTAGATCAATATTGTTAGTCTGCATGATCTACCAAGATGAGAACAATTTATGTTATAAAAAGATTTCCACCATGATTGCAGATTTGTCAGCTTTTCCTTGAAATTCTTTTTGCTTCACACTTTTCCAGCTATGTGGTTAGTTGCATACATGTTCATGATTACATTATTTCCTAGTGGATTTTTCTTTGTAATATAATAAGATGCACATCTTTGTCCCTATTAATGTTACTTAATAAAAAGAATAATTTAATAATTAATATCACTCCATAAAGTCTTCTTGTTATTGTTTATATTGCCTGGCATGTATTTTTCTATTCTTTTATTTTCTATAGTTTAGATATTTTAACTATTTTTAGTAAGTTTTATTCTTAATTGTCTTAGTAATAATTGTCTGGCTTGCTAATTAGTATAAAATAACCATGTAATTAGACAAGTAGTAGTTAGATTATAATATTATCCAGTAATCTAACTGGACTATCAGCAAAGAAAATTTCACACTGAGGTTATATCCAGGAAACCACCCCTCTGAACCTAAGTGTCTTCATTTAAAATCAGAATTTGGGGATAGAAGGCAAGCCACTTTTTAAAAACCTCCTTACTTATCAAAACAAATTAAAGCACTAACTTTTCGTATAGAATTAGGTTTAAATTTCAAAGCAGATTCCATTATTTATATTATTCATTAATGCAATTTTGACTCATGCCCATTGGGTTTTCTGTTTCTTATCATTTAAAACATCCAACATTTTTAAGCACAAATTTCAACTTTGTATATGAAAGGATTTACTAGAATTGGGAGGAAGTGATTCAATTGGTAGAAATGGAGAGAGAATTAATCAGCCTTGATTGGACTTGGGGTAGGGAATGACTTAATGATGGTATATATTGAGCCTGATCAGCACATGAATTTTCACTTAGAGATTCTCTCCTGAATGGAAATCATTTCTCTGGGTCTTGTCATATCTTCATTTCAAATCAGGATTTCAGACTAGTGGAATGTAAGTTACTTTTTTCTCCTTTAAAATATAAAAAGATTAAGACAGTAACTTTTTACATAAGAACATGATTTTTTCCTGTTAAAACTTGTTCAATCATCCATCCATCCATTCACTCATTTATCTTCTTATGTGGAACATTATTACTGGGCAACTATTGGTGTCAGGCATTGGTTTAGATGCGTGGACTTTATCACTGAGCAAAACAAAGATCCTTGCCCTTGTAGAAATTATATTCAGAATGGAAAAGGTGGAGAAAGAAACAAATGTAACATAACTAAATTAAATAGGATCATGGAAGAAAGTTCATGCTGCGTAGAAAAAGAAGAGCAGAGTAAGGGAGATACACAGTATACAGGATTTTAGGAGACAGAAGGGAAGTACAGTTGTCATTTTAAACAAAATATCAGGGTTGGTTGGTTTAATTTGAGCAAAGACCAACAGGAGAAGGAAGACTATCTTGGCAGAGAAAATAGCTAGTTTGAGGGCCTCAAAGCAGAAGCAGCTGTGTGAGTTCAAGTATCATAGTCTAGAAAGGCAAATTAATATGATGAGTCAAAGAGTCAAAATGACTAAAGAACACCTGGGGGGGGGGCCTGGGGCACTTTTGAATTTAACTATGAAGGTAACAATACCTCCCCACTGTCTGACTTAATATCCTTTTCTTTCAATCATATCCAATTCTATTAAATTTGCTTAACTGTTGCTAATTAATGCTGCAATGTGATACTTTGTTGTTAGTTATGTTCATTTTCCTCATTGGGAGATTCAGTGTCTTTCATGTTTATTGTCTATTGTTGATTTGGAATTATTCTTCCTGAATAGCCTGTTTATATCTTTGTTAATTTTAACTGGGTTGTTTGTATTTTTATATTATGTATATTAGTGTACATATTATATTAGTATTCTAACAGTAGTCGTAGCAACCCTTTCTGTTATAGACATGAAATTTATCTGCTAATCTAGTAGTTAGCAATTGACTTTGTATTTGGCATATTGGCTATAAAACTAATTTTTATCATATACATGACTTTTTAAAAATCATATATTTTAAAGCTCTTAGAGGGTCTACCTTGATTAAAATGTCTTTTCAAGCACTAGGTACTATAATTTCTTAAATTTTTCTTTTTAGATTATTATGGTCTTTTTTCCCCTTTGGGGTATTGTTTTTGTATTAGCTTTGAAGCTAGAATTCGTCCATTACTTCCTGCCTTAAGAATAGCCAGTTTTGCAATCACAGTTATTAAATACAACACCCTTTTTACACTATAAAACACTATCTCTGTCAGATCTGGAGAATTTTTACAGTTAAGATATACCATACTATGTCCAAAAGCTATTAAGTATGATTTGAAAAGGATGGCTTTGTAGATTATGAGAAACAAGAAATAAAGCAGTCATTAAGAAGTCCAGAGGATTAGGATCCAAAGCACAAGGGGGTTTGAGGTCACCTCCTTTCTAGTTACACATGGAAAGCTGAGGATATGGGCATAGCCAAAGGCAACTTGATAGATATGCCCAAAGGTAAGATAAGGAGTCCTTGTTTAAGAGTTTCTATTTTACCAGATAAATCAAAAGATCTTCCACTCTCAAGAAAGAAGATGAGAAAAGAAAGGAAATGGAAGAGGCACGTAGACTTAAAGAAAGAGGGAAATGTGGGAAATGTTATTGAGTAGAAAAATAAACAATTAGAAAAATAGAGGAAGATTGTTAGGCAGAATTAAGGACCCAACTAGATTTCTGTGATAACAGGTTTAAATTAAGAATTATAGAGAGGTTATATGATTTTTTCTGGTTAACTTAGCAGATAGGGTAAATTTTAAGCTTTTACTGAAATTTCCAACTTTTAGTTTCTTTTTCTTAATATTTTCAAAACTGCTTATGTCAAAGTTTTATAGTTCAATTTTCTGACAAGTATTTTCAGATCATTTATGTATAAATTTTGTTAGTATTTTTCTTATTAATACTTTTAGACCATTTTAGTTAGAATCTTTTAATTTTGTGAATGGATTGATTATAATGTACATTGGTATTAATGAAATCATGGCATGCTTATTAAATTAAAGTTAGCAGTTAAAAGAATGGGTAGTAGGCTATGAGTTAAATGGATTGGGGTTACTCACTCAGGGTTGATAAAGGCAGTTAGAATATAAAAAGTGTGGGTATTTTCTAAAACTGTGTCACCATCTTGTCATTGTTACTTCATTCCCCTATTTCATAGTACATGATTCATTCATTCATTCATTCAACAAATACTTACTCAGCACCTATTATGTGCCAGGCACTGTTCTATATGCAGAGGATACACCAGTGAACAAGAGAGACAAGGTTCCTGATTTCCTGGAACTTATGTTCTAATATAGGAAAATAGACAATAATAATAAAAAAATAATATTAATAATAATAATAGCTAACATTTATTTAGCAAGTACTGTTTGCTGAGACAGTTCTAAGCACTTTACAAGTATTAATTTACTTAATCCTTTCAGTAACATTATGAGGTAGGAACTAGAATTATCCCCATTTTTGCATGAGGAAATTGAGGGCACAGAAAGGGAAAATGACTTGCCTAAGGTTACAAAACTAGGAAAGGGCAGAACTAGAATTTAGAACCTAGACTAGATCTTTACTCTCCATGCCTTTGTGATATTCGATACAGCTTCTCAGATAAAAAACAAAGCAATACAACAAGCAATAAATTCAGGAAGTGTTTGGTTTTATGAAAAGTAAAACAGGGTTATATGAGAGTGTGTTCATTGGAGGGGTGGGGTGTTGATGTAGATGTCAGGAAAAACCTCACCGAGGAGGTGGCATCTGAGCTGAAAGTTGAAGAATAGCAGTTGTTATATTGGGACTGAGATAACAGAAAATCTAGTGCAAAAATAAAGAATCTTTCCTTGTTTTGTGAAATAAATGCCCACTTGGCTACATCTTGAGCTTAGTATGTAATTGACTGAATGAACCAGAAATCAGGGAGGTATGCAAGAGTTAGGTTCCACGAGGCCTCAGGAGATATTATTAATTTTTAAGTGCAATAGATTTTTATGCAGGAGAATAATGCTATCTAACAATTTTAAAACATAACTCTTGCTGCTATATATAAAATTGTAGCTAAAGAGGAGGCAGGAAGATCCACTAGGAGGTAATCACATCCAAGTGGAAGATGATGGTGGCTTGCTTGGATGAGGGCAGTAGCAGTGAATTGAAATGTTGGGTAAATTTTTTAAAAACTGGTAAGATTTGCAAATGAATAGGATATGAAGAGTGAAGGAAAAGCAATTTAAGTAGGTCTTTCAGGATTCTGGATGTGAGACTGGTGAAAGAATACCTTCAAGTAAGATAAAAATGAAGATTTTTTATTTTTTCCAGAGTTTCCTGACATCTATTCCTCAATAGTTTGGTATAGGAGCATTTGCTCTAGTATGAGAGTTAACCTGCCCCCCACCCTACCCCCGTGCTGGGGTGGGGGTGGGTCAAGATTTTTATCTCGAACTTTATGGGTGAGGAGGGTTTTTTCTTTCTTCATTTGAAAGTTTTTTGAAGAAAGAATCCATGGAGAGAGGGTTTAAGCATCCAATTACGTAAAATTTGACATTTGAAACTAAATTGGGGGAGCTGAATTTTCATTTGTTGAACAATGACTTATTGAGCATTTACTATGCTCCAAGATCTGTGATGAAAATAGCAATGCAAACAAAGCAAAAAAAGATACCTGCTCTCGGTCTTTTTTCTTTCTTTCTTTTGATAGCAGTGGGAGACCATTGGTGATTATTTCCCCCAGGTTTTCGTTGTCTTATTTAAACTTCACCTAACGCTTGAGTAGCCATCTTAATTCCATCTCGCGCTTCTGACAGCTGGGACCACCGTTCTAAACATTCAACGTCATAAACGCTAAAACTGACATCGCCCCTCCCATTAGAACTTAGCGCTTAAAAAAAAAAAAAAAAGATAAAAATTTTAACCAACAATACGACTACAACCTTTGCTTTGAAGTCTAAGGTTTTTGAGGAATGGTACCTTTATAAAGATCGTGGTTGCCCCCGTACATATTTGTTCTTTCTTCATATCCAATTAAGTGAAAATACTAGTCTTTCCGTAGCCCAACTCCCTAGGCTGGTTGGGTCTAGCTCAGGAGCAGGACGGAAGCAGGAGCCGTTGGATTTTTAACAGTTTGATATAATCCTTTTCCACGCTCTCTCCCGCTAGTTGCGGACGTGGTGTCGGCTACCCGGGGCTTTCCGTCCACGCAGTACCGGAATGAAGGAGTCTGGGAGGGGGTCGGGGAAGGAAAAGACATTAAGTAATTGGTTCTCCAAGGTATAAAAATGATATTCAGGGTCTACTCTAAGGCACAGATTTCAAACGCCCGCCCCCTGGGCTGTCTCAGCCCCACCCCCTGCTGTCGTCACGCTGACTTCCACCCGGGCCTCTGCTGATTGGTGGTTAAAGCGCTTGGGTTTTGCTTCCGGGTCTTAGGCTTTGGCCCTGGGAGCAGAGGATTCTGGGGGCCGAGAGTGGCAATGGTATCTGTGTGATCTGCGGAGGTGGTCAGACCTCGGTCAAGGTGAGCTGCAGGCCAAGGTGTTTCTTCTGCGGGTGGGAAAAGAAAGGTGGGGTCGGAGTCGGCGGCGGGCGGAGGAGCTCCGGAGCAGTAGTCAGGGCTGGTGCGTGCGAAGCTCTTGGGCCCACCGCAGAGAAAGCGGCGCCAAGGCAGCTTTTCCTGTGGCTTAGGTGGGCCCGGGGTACTCCCACCGCCTTCCCCCACGGGTGAAAAGACAGCGAGTTCCTAGTGACAGCCCAAGGGCACGCTCCCGGGATACCAAATCGCGAGGTGTGCAGGACGCGGAGGCACCTAGCAGCAGACAACCCTGTTTCTCCCTCTCTGGACACACGCCTTTACCCTTTATGAAACTCAAGAGAGGTATACCCCTCAAAATCTTTCCATTTCCTTGTTCTTTTGATAGGAGCGGGAGACCATTGTTTTTCCGACGCTAATGGGATTTAGCGATTGTGCCAGGTGGTAGGTACTCTTGGTTACCCAGAGCTGAACGTAACATACAGAATGTGTTCCTGATTTTTTGGTTATTAGAATCCTTTGGGAGTGGGTTTCCTGTCTTCTGAGCGTCTCTTAAATTATAACCTTAAAAGGGCTGATTTATATTGTGATGACTTACAGGGGAAAATCAACAAATAGTTGTTAAAATTTTGCCCATGTAACTGTCATTGAATTTTAGCACACTTACCTCCTGGACACTCGTTTGTCAGTGATTTTTAAGTTTTGTTTCGATTAACTTATTTGTTGTTCTGTGAAGTTTAGAAAAAATGCAAATCTTGGAAGCTTGGGGGAATGTGGTTGAGAATTCTTAAAACTTAAGAGGTGAAACTGTATATTACAAGAAATTGAGCATGTCATGTCCCATAATTCCAATAATCCTAAAAGGAATATCCCCATTCCACCCATGACAGAAACAAGTTAGGGGACTTGCCCAAGACCAGGCAGCCAGGAGAACAACAGGATCACAAACTTAGATCCTCATGACAGAATTTTTTGTAGTAGTAACTATCTGCAAAGCTATATTCCTTGTTTACTCCTTAGGCCATAGTTTGTTTCCTTCGAACTTGTGTATAGAAAGATTATGCAATTTTGGAGGGATGAGTTTTGAAATTATTTCACAAGGGTAGATATTGATGAATAAATTTATGAAGCAAGAATTCTTTTGGGAATAACTTAATACTGTTTTTCTTCAGAGCATAAAACATGACAACAGCAGCCAGGCCGACTTTTGAACCTGCAAGAGGTGGAAGAGGAAAAGGAGAAGGTGATTTGAGCCAACTCTCAAAGCAGTATTCAAGCAGAGATCTTCCCTCTCATACAAAGATAAAATACAGGTAATAAAGACTTTCCAAAGACCACATCTGTTAAATGGCATGATCATGATATATGATCAAGTTTGAGTTATCACTTATCACTTAGGTTATCTATTTTTAAAGGAATAGAATGCAACAGAGGGCTTAACAATAAAATTATGCTATATGATTTTAAAGTGCTACTAACATTACTTCAGCAGAAATTGCTGTTAACCAGGAATTTCCATATGTGGAGGGAAGAGTACCTAATATTACCTCAGAGAAACTATGCACTTTCAGCACAAGTTAGTGGGATAAATGTTATACTGTAACAAGCTCTTGAGTCTATATAATGGGAACAAAAATTAAGAACGTTTTAATCAATCTGCGACCATATTAAGCAAAGTATGTGATTCGTTTGGGGCTTCTTAAAATATTGGAAATATCACAAGTGCTAGTTAGTAACCTTCAGATTAGGTTATTATCTTGTCCTCTTCTTTGTTTTATCTTTGAGGGACAAAATTGTACTTGTGAATTGAATTGTCTTCCATTCACATGTGATTTTGTTTTCTTGGGGTTGGATGGGTCGTAACATTTTGTCCTGATTTGTTTCCACTTTAGACAAACTACTCAGGATGCCCCTGAAGAGGTTCGTAACCGGGACTTCAGGAGGGAGTTGGAAGAAAGAGAGAGAGCTGCTGCACGAGAAAAAAATAGAGATCGTCCAACCCGAGGTATCAACCCTGTCCCAAACATTTGTCTCCTAAAATTATATTGTCCATGGTTTTTCTTTCATGTAGTAATTAGAAAGGGTTCGTATTTTTGTGAGCTTTACTTCCTTAAATAATGAGAGATAATGAAGTTTATTCCAATTTCATCTTTTTATCCTTCTATAATAGAAGGAACAGGGTGATCTGGAGATATTCAGCAGCCATCATTTTATTTCAAATCAAAAGTTTTAACTCATTAGAGCAGCCAGGCCCCAGGATTTCTGTCTGAGAAATTTTATGTTTTCAGACAGGTAGTGATGCGTGCCTGTATTCCTAGCAACTCTGGAGGCCGAGGCAGGTGAATTGCAAGTTTCAGGCCAGCCTCAGCAAAATAACAAAAAGAGCTGGGAATATAGCTCAGTGGTAAAGGGCCCTGAGTTAGATTCCCAGTACCACCACCCTCATCCCCCCAAAAAAAGAGATTTAATGTTTTCAGTTTATATAAACTTCACCCTGAATTTCCTGAGGTTGCAGTTCTAATATTAAAATCAGTCCTTTTATTAATATATTTAATATTTACCAACAATATTTACCAAAGACTTATTTGCCAGTCATAATAGGTGATCCCTGATGGCATGATGCTTTGAATATGGATTCTTCATACCTATAGGTCCCTAAAACATTATAAGAAATGCAGCACTTGTTTCACTAAGTTAAATAATGTGTGTTTTCCACCAGAACATACAACCTCCTCTTCAGTGTCAAAGAAGCCTCGGCTAGATCAGATTCCTGCTGCCAACCTCGATGCAGATGATCCTCTAACAGATGTAAGTTTTGTTTTCTTTCATTTGAGTATTTTTCTTTGCCAAGGGTTCAAGAACAAGTTTGATATCTAGAGAACTCACTGTGAAAGCAGTCTATTAAAGAACATGCCTTCCTCCAGAAGAATTCTTTATATTAAACCCTAGAGTTGAGCTACTGTTTTTATATACACAGGGCACACATTGGGCTCTCTGGAAACATTCCCTGTAGTTATACCCTAGGGCCTTTCCTCTTTAGCTATGATCAGATGTATTATGCACATGCTGGTTCCCTCTGTGTTTAGGGAGGAAAGTAATCTAAGCAGAATTTTTTAAAAGTTAGCATATCAATTAAAATTCAGTGGGACTCCATAGTCAGTAGTTTGTGCTTTTCTACAAAACAGTGAAAAAATGAGTGGCCTTTCCTAGATAAGATGTAATCGTGCACATATGTCAGCAATTAATTCTAGAGCTGACTGATGAAGTTATAGTCATTAAAACAAGAAGCTCAGTTATAAGTGTGATTTAATTATTATTCATTTGAAATTATTTTATTGTGGAATTTAATGCTCTTTTTTGCATGTCTGATCATCCTTACTTAATAACTTAAAATTGCTGTAAGTTACATACTATCATTCTGTCTCTCCTAAAGTGAACCCTGTACATACCTACTGTATTTCATTATGAGGTGTTCCTTTTTCTAATTTTAGCCATGTAAATTTGAAAGGTACTTTATTAGGAGTTGACATTTTAGGAAGTATTCTAAGCTTTTTGTGAGATTTTTATTTATTTGGTTGGTTGTTGATTTTAATCATAATATTCAAGTGCAGTTATTTTCCCACTAGGAAAATTAATTCTGTCCCAAAAATATGGTAAATATAGTTTTTAAGGGACAAAAAATTAACATTGTGCATTTTCCCTCCAACATCATGGATAATTACTGCTTTTTACTGTTTTTAGGAGGAAGATGAAGATTTTGAAGAGGAGAGTGATGATGATGATACTGCAGCTCTCCTTGCAGAACTAGAAAAAATTAAAAAAGAAAGAGCAGAAGAGCAGGCCAGGAAGGTAAAAATCTAAGGGTTAAGTATTTATATATCCCATCTTCACATGCTAAAATAGGAATATTTTTTATTCAAATAATATATTCTTATATTAGAAATTTTCCTTACCATGTCTAAATATTGTGGCACCTGAAGTCCTATAAATCTGATTATTTTTATGACATTTTAAGGATCCTGGTTATGTTGGAAATTCTAAACAGTTCAGGCATGCTGAATAATACTCCTCAACTTGCTTATATTTACTTGTTTGTTCTTTGTTCAATAGACATTTAGTTAGTGTTAAGTGTCAGAAGAACCAACATGATTAAGATTAGTCTACAAATTTCTCTCTCTTGTCTCCTGCCTAGACACTTGTGAGGCAACCTGTCAATAGATTTTATATACAATCTATGCCAAGTTATCATACTCTTGTATACCCAGTCTTTCCAGTTATACAGTGGGAGAAAAGAATGCTTACCTCAAAAATTTAGAGAGAAAACTGAGAAGGCAAGCAGGAGTCCAAGCATTGGCAGTTTGTAAACCAGTGTTAAAGAAACTGAATTTTGTTCTAAAGGATGAAAAGCCAGTAGAGTTTAGCAGTAGATTGGTAAGAGTGCATATGCATTTTGGAAAGTATAGAAGATGGATTGGAAATAACTGAGTGAGGAGGCTATTTCGATACTCCTTATGGGTAATGAAGAGAATCTTAACTTACATGATAGAAGTTGGAATTGGTAGAAATAAACAGGTGCTGGGAAAGCTCTCAAGGAGGAGAATTGACCAAATAAAGTGAGTGATTGGTTGTGGAAGCAAAGATGACACCCACCACACACACACAGTCTTAGTATATGTTGGTGCCATATAGTAATACATGGAAAGCAGAAAAATGGATATGTTTAGGCAGAAGGAAAAAAACTTGAATTCTATTTTGAACATGGTGAATTTGACACATTAGAAGACATTCAAGTAAAGATATCTGCACCCATTTTCAGCCAGAGTAGTACAGCTTTTTTTATGGATGTCAGCGTAAGATTTCATTTGAGCCATGGGTTATGTTTTTAAAAATAAAAAGCAAGGGGGCAGGTGAGTGTGGGGAGAGAAGACACTGATAAAAGTTAATAATAAGAATCTTGGGAAGTAGATTTGTAAAGTCCATGTTAGTCAGAAGGGTCAGGGAAATTTTCAGGAAAAAAAAATATGAGATAGTCTTAGAATTCAGATTGGAAGAAGAAAGGATTTTTTTGTTGTTGTTGGTGATGGCAGTGGTAATTTTGTGGGTTCTTTTGTTTGTTTGAATGCTACAAATCGAACCCAGGGCCTCATACATGCTAGACAAGCACTCTACTTCCAGTCCCAAGAAAATTATTTGCAAATAAACTTCTCATTAAAGTTTGACATAGGAAAGCATAATTCCTATTAATAGCTTGCAGTTTTTATCTAATGTTTAAAAATAAATATCAAGAACATTACCAATGTCACTCGTCTGCCACTAGAGGGCAGTTGTTCCAAATTCTTTGAGGTTCTCTATTCTCTGTATCTAGACTGAAAGAACTTTAAATGCTTTTGGTTGATGTTTAGGCAGGATAAATATTTTAGATGAAAGATATGGGAGATTCATCTAATCTCTGTGAAAAATGTGTTGGTATTTCTTGAAGTCACATGACAATTTTATTCCCTTAGTCCCTGTTTTTCTATTCTATAAACTGTTTTTTGAGGTATCTCAAAGTAACATTTTCAAACTAATTAACCTATGTCAAGGTTTAGTACACTTTGTATAAAAGGTCAGATACTAAGTATTTTGAACTGCCTTGTCATCAGCCTGTGAATCCTCTGTTGCAACTGCTCTGCTGTTGTAGCACAAAAGCAGCCTATGCTCCAATAAAATTTCTTTCTCATAAATAGCAGGAAAGGGATTGTTTAGATTTGATCTGCAGGCTATCTTACTGCTACCTTTTGTTCCTAATATTTGATGGAAGAAGTTGGTGCTTTTTTCCCCTCCAGTGCTGTATGTGACAATCAAGTAACCAAAGGAAATAATATTGCAGATATTAAAAGACTGGAACCTTATATGTTAACACATTATTATTACAAATTTCATACATTATATACTTGAGCTCCTAATTTTTATAGCATCTCAAAGAAATGTCTTTTCACTTTTAGCATCCATGTAATTTGTTAAAAATAAATAGGTAATTTTTAGAAAGCTATTTATGTTCTAATCTTCCAGGGGATGGTTCCTAACTTGCTTAAGATCTGGTCCAAAGCAGTTTTTCTGTTTATTTTCCTAAAAATCTCACCTGCCAGTTATTTGTCCTGATAAAAATGAAATGCATTGTTTATATTTGCATATTAAAATGAACAATCAGTAACTTTTATGGAAAATTGGATTACTTTTAAAGTAACTTCTGAGCAATTGTTTTTTTTTCCCTTGATCTACTAAGTTAACAATTTCTGTCATCCTCAAAATACAACAAAATGGGATTTTTATTTGGTTTAAGATAATATGTTTTAGGCAAATCTAGAAGTTGCAGCTAAAGATTTGGAAACTTTATGTTCCTGGTTCTGAAAATGAAACTGCAGGTGATTTGAGTTTGAAGAGATTGATGCTAAAATAAAATGAAAACAATGTTATAACTAGTGAAGGATAAGAGGTATAAAAATAGAAAGTGGATGACAATAAATCCTAAAAACAAAGTGGATACACTTCAGGAATGTTGTACATGATTGTTTGTCTTATTTTAGGAGTTACTCCTTAGATATTAATAATAATTTTATCATTAATCCTAGAGATGTAAGCTTACATTGTTAGTAATTTAAAATGGAAGTATTTTTATCAGTTTGTCTGTGGCCCTTTAAATAGCTTTGCTAAATGTCTTTTTTATGTTTAATATGTTCTTAAATTATAAATGTAAAACAAAATTTAAAGTAATTCGTTTTATATGTTCTTCAAAAGAAAACAGACTTAAATATGCATCACAAAGCTTTTCAGAATTGGGAGATACTAATGACTGTATGATAGCAAGTATGAAATATTTATAATAAAGATGCCAGATTATTTTGTTTTTTTTATGAGCTTTTCTGTTATCTTAAGAATCAAAATAGAAAGAAGACTACCTTGATGCATATCTTTCCTCTTTAAACAATTCTAACAGTCTTTTTTTCTTTAATGAGCTAATATAAGAAAATTGCATCTTCCTCTTTCATTGCCAGGAACAAGAACAAAAAGCTGAAGAAGAGAGAATTCGTATGGAGAACATTCTGAGTGGAAACCCTCTTCTTAATCTCACTGGCCCTTCCCAGCCTCAGGCCAACTTCAAAGTTAAAAGAAGGTACTATAAGTAATGGGTTAGAATTCTATATACAGATTATGAGTTGGACAGCAAAGTATATTATGTAATGCTTCTAAAACTCCGCCTTCCACTGATATTTTTCTCTCTCTAATTTTCGAGTAATAAAAGAAAGAAAATAAAATTTTCTGCAGATATTTATAACCAGCTACATATCAAATAATGATCTAAACACTAGGGTAAGAGTAATGAACTAAGCAGTCTTGGGAACCTTACAAAGCTTATGTATATTAAGTACGTGTGTCCTTAGTCCCCAAGACTGCTCTTCACATTCAGATATTCACTAGAAGGATTCAGGGCACTTAGCTTATAATTATATTCATGGCTAACATAGAAAAGATATGAAACCAGGTTGGGTTTTTGTTTGTTTTTGTATTTGGTACCAAGGATTAAACTTGGGGGCACTGGACCACTGAGCCACAATCCCTAGCCCTATTTTATATTTTATTTACAGACAGGGTCTTGCTGAGTTGCTTAGCATCTCGCTTTTGCTGAGGCTGGCTTTGAACTCACTATTCTCCTGTCTCAGCCTCCCGAGCCACTGGGATTGCAAGACTTATGAATTGAGTATTACTTTGTTCTTTTGTTGTGTCAAATGATGTGCACATTGAGCATCTTTCTGTGTAATGACTAAGCTTTACAATGCACATGGTATTCTTGTCTCCTAATAAAAACATTATAAGGCATTTTATTTTCATTTTTCCTTTCAGGTGGGACGACGATGTTGTGTTCAAGAACTGCGCAAAAGGTGTAGATGATCAAAAGAAAGACAAAAGATTTGTAAACGATACACTGCGATCTGAATTTCACAAAAAATTCATGGAGAAATATATTAAGTAGTACAGTTTTATGTGCTTAATTAAAGACTGTAAAATGTTAAGGATCATTTTGATGGTTTTTTTTTTTTCCTTTTCCGCCGTCTAAATGGTATATAATAGACTTCCCTAATTTTAAGTTCCAAAGTATCTTTTCCTTTATTGAGACCTTATTGATAATGGACTTGGAAATAGGTTTAACTCCATTTCTATTCTCTGAATGTTTTCAATCATGTTTGTTTTTTTTTTAATATGGGAAAAAAGAACCTGCTTTTAATAAATGATTTTAATCTAAATAACAATCTGTGTCCCCAGCTTTTCATTGTGATGAATGCAGCTTATAAAATGTTACATCATGTTTTTCAAAAAAATTATATATTGTTTCTTTGTGCATTAAATTTTTCCTTTATTCTCTTCACTGGTTTAAAATCTATGTGTTTCTGCTTTGTAACTCAAGTTTCTTTCACCAGAGAAAAAAGTTAATTCTTAATCATTTAGGAGTTCTTAATATTTTCGACATGTGTTTTTAAGAGTATGATGAAAGATTAAAGGGATTCCATTTTGGACCACATGTTGGAATAGAAGTGTCGTCAATTAGTAGGTGGCACCCCAGGTTTACATCTAGGAAGGCACAAAGTACCTCACTTCTGCAGGTACTCATTTCTTTTCTTTTGGCCATGACAGGAACTCTAAGTATTCCAAGAAAAGCATATGGCACTCACTTTGTCCTGGATGCTGAACTGCTGTGTTTCTCTTGAATGAACTAAGAGTTTGGATGTATAGTTTATGCAAAGCTGAGGAGTTTCAAATCAAGCATAAAACTTTTGGAAATAGAATTTGTTATGTTGGAGGCCATATCTGTAGAAGTGGGAGAGAGAGATAGCTAGTCCTTACTAAAAGCATTACTCCTAGAAAATGTTTTCCTAAACCCGAGCTATGTTGAAAGGTGCCACTTTGATAGAAATTTAGAACCAGAAATTGAGCTTCACACAGATAGAGACCCCCCTTTTTGGGGGGAGGTGGAATTGGACTTTATAGAAATTAAGAACTTATTAAAAAATATCAATAGGAAAATGAAGAGAGTCGCAGGCAAGGATAATATAATATAAATATCTGTCCATCCATCTGACAAAGGAGTTCTATCCAGAAGGTATAAAGATCATATTATAAACCAATTAAGACAAAAAAAAATTATTTTTAAAGAATGGGAACAAAAGAATATCCAAATGGCTATTATGCATATGAAAAGATATCAACATTACTATTCATCAGGCAAATTAAAATCATGAGGTGCTATTTTATATCCAACCAGAACATCTCAGCTTTATTTTTTTAGAATTATTTACTTGATAAAGTTTTTAAACTTGTTTTAATTAGTTATATATGACAGTAGAATGCATTTATGCACTTTGATATACATAGATAGAATGTAATATCTTTCCTATCCCCACATCCCCTCTCCTTCCCTCCCATCACTTCCCTCTACCTAACCTAAGGTAATGCTATTCTTTCCTAGTGCCCCACCCCCGCCTTATTGTGAATTAGCATCCACATATTAGAGAAAACATTTGGCCTTTGGTTTTGTGGGATTGGCTTATTTCACTTACCATGATATTCTCCAACCATTTACTGGCTAATGCCATAATTTTTACTCTTCTTTAAAGCTGAGTGATATTCCATTGAGTATATGTACCACATTTTCTTTATCCATTCATCTATTGAGGGACACCTAGATTGGTTCTATAGTCTAGTTATTGTGAATTGTGCTGCTGTAAACATCGATGTGGCTGTGTCACTGTAGTATGCTGATTTTAAGTCCTTTGGGTATAAACAAAGATTGGGATACCTGGGTCAAATGGTCCCATTCCCAATTTTCTGAGGAATCTCCATACTGCTTTCCATAGTGGTTGCATCAATTTGCAGTCCCACAGCAATGTATGAGTGTAGCTTTTTCCTCACATCCTCAACACTTACTGTTGTTTGTATTCATAATAGCTGCCATTCTGACTGGACTGAGATAAAATCTTAGAATAGTTTGATTTGCATTTCTCTAATTGCTAGAGATGATCAACATTTTTTCATATGTTTGTTGATTGATTATATATCATCTGAGAAGTGTCTTTTCATGTCCTTAGCCCATTTATTGATTGGGTTATTTGTTTTGGTTTTTTTTTGGGGGGGGGGGCGGTGCTTAGCTTTTTGAGTTCTTTATATACCCTAAAGATTAGTGCTCTATCTGATGTGTGAGGGATAAAGATTTGCTCCCAAGATGTAGGCTCTCTATTCACCTCACAGATTGTTTCTTTTGCTGAGAAGAAACTTTCTAGTTTGAGTCCATCCCATTTTTTGATTCTTGATTTTAATTCTTACGCTAAAGGAGTTTTATTAAGAAAGTTGGGGCCTAATTCCACATGATGGAGATCAGGGCCTACTTTTTATACTGTTAGATTCAGGGTTTCTGGTTTTATTCCTAGGTCCTTGATTCATTTTGAGTTGTTTTGTGCATGATGAGAGATAGGGGTTTAATTTCTTTTTTTTTTTTCCAGTTTTCCCAGCATCATTTGTTGAAGAGGCTATCTTTTCTTCAGTGCATATTTTTGACGCCTTTGTCTAATATAAGATAATTGTAATTTTGTTGGTTAGTCTCTGTGTCCTCTATTCTGTACCATTGGTCTACCAGTCTGTTTTGGTGCCGATACCATGCTGTTTTTGTTATTATTGCTCTGTAGTATAGTTTAAGATCTGGTTTAGTGATGCCACCTGCTTCACTCTTCCTGCTAAGGATTGCTTTAGCTATTCTGGGTCTCTTATTTTTCCAGATGAATTTCATGATTGCTTTTTCTATTTCTATGAGGAATGTCTTTGGGATTTTAATCAGAATTACATTAAATCTGTATAGTGCTTTTGGTAGTATGGGTATTTTGGTAATATTAATTCTGCCTATCCAAGAGCAAAGTAGATCTTTTCATCTTCTAAGGTCTTTTTTGATTTTTTTCTTTAGGGTTCTGTAATTTTTATTATATACATCTTTCACCTCTTTTGTTGATTCCCAAGTATTTTATTTTATTTTTTGAGGCTGTTGTAAATGTGGTAGTTTTCCTTTCTGAGGATTTGTCACTGATATACAGAAATGCCTTTGATTTATGTGTGTTGATTTTATATCCTGCTACTTTGCTTAATTCATTTATTAGTTCTAGAAGTTTTCTGGTGGAACTTTTAGGGTCTTCTAGGTGTAGAATCATATCATAAGCAAATAGTGCCAATTTGAGTTCTTCTTTTCCTATGTGAATCCCTTAAATTTATTTCATCTGTCTAATTGCCCTGGCCAGTGTTTCAAGAATTATGTTAAATAGAAGTGGTGAAAGAGGGCATCCCTGTCTTATTCTAGTTTTTAGAAATTGCCTTCAGTTTTTCTCCATTTAGAATGATGTTAGTCTGTGACTTAGCATAGATAGCCTTTGTGATGTTGAGATATATTCCTGTTATCCCTAATTTTTCTAGTGTTTTGAACATGAAGGGGGGCTATATTTTACTTTTTCTGCATCTATTGAGATGATCATATGATTCTTATCTTTAAGTCTATTGATGTGATGAGTTACATTTTTTATTTCCTTATGGTGAATCAAACTTGCATCCCTGGGATTAATCCCACTTGATCATGGTGCACGATGTTTTTAATATGCTTTTGTATTCGATTTTCCAGAATTTTATTGAGAATTTTTGTACCTGTGTTCATTAGAGATATTGGTCTGAACTTTTCTTTTTTGAATGTCTTTGCCTGGTTTTGGAATCAGAGTGATATTGACCTCATAGAATGAGTTTGGAAGTGCTCCCTTCTTTTCTATTTCCTGAAATAAATTGAAGAGTATTGGTATTAGTTCTTCTTTAGAGGTCTGGTAGAACTCAGTCATATATTTATCTGGTCCTGGGGTTTTCTTGGTTGGTAGACTTCTGATGGCATATTCTATTTCGTCACTTGAAATTGATCTGTCTAATCATGTATATCATCCTGATTCAATTTGGACAAATTATATGACTCTAGAAATTTGTCGATGCCTTTGATATTTTCTATTTTATTGGAGTACAAGTTTTCATTAATTTCTAATTATCTTCTGTATTTCTGTAGTGTCTGTCATGGTATTTATTTTTTCATCACATATGTTAGTAATTTGAGTTTTCCCTCTCCTTCTCTTCATTAGTGTGGCTAAGGGTCTGTCAATTTTATTTATTTTTTCAAAGAACCAACTTTTTGTTCTGTAAATTTTTTCAATTGTTTCTTGTGTTTCAATTTCATTGATTTCAGCTCTGATTTTAATTATTTCCTGTCTTCTGCTGCTTTTGGTGTTGTTTTGTTCTTTTTCTAGGGCTTTGAGATGTAAGATTAAGTCATTTATTTGTTGACTTTTTCTTCTTTTAAGGAATGAACTCCATGCAATGAACTTTCCTCTTAGAACTGCTTTCGTAGTGTCACAGAGATTTTGATATGTTGTGTCTTGTGGGAGGCTGACTAGCACGTGACTGTGTCTGTCTCCCCTTCTGACCTATGCGGCATTATTGGTCACTCTGACAATTGCCCCAATCTTTAGGGTGCAAGTGACTGTGTCTTCGTGTATGGGCATGCCTTCCTACAGCCCCATGGGTGGAGCTATGCTCACCTGTTCCTTTGTAATATTACCACTTGCCCTGTTTGGGATACAATGTTCCATGGAAACACCTTTTGTGTATCCCCTTCTCTTACTGTGCCCTTGGGTGTGGCCTACCTAGATGTCAATCAACCTGCTGACAGCAGACATCACGAAGCTAGACTTAGCCCCTTGAAACCTGACCCCTTGCCTCATTTGAATAGCTTCTCAATAAAAGGGGTCAGCACGTGTATGTGTGTGTGTGTGTGTGTGTGTGTGTTCTCTCTCTCTTTCTGCGGACCCTTAAGTCAGAAGAGCCATCACAGCACCCCCAAAGTAAAAGGTATTTCTGTCTCTTGTGTGGTTATTTCACGCAGCCCAATTAGCCTAGTTCCCCTGGAGTGACCCCTGAGTGTTTTAGTTGTGATCAGCCCAGCAAATGG